AAACTGCCCAGGCCACCCCTCGTAGACCCGACCCTGGTCAAGAAGAAGCCCAAGAAGGACAAGAAGAAGAAGAAGAAGAAGAAGTGAATTTTCTCTTTCTTTTTTTCCTTTTTTATTCAAAATTCGCGAATTTTTAATCTTCGTCGACAAGAAGAAGAAGAAGAAGAAGAAGAAGAAGAAGTGAATTCTCTCTTTCTTTTTTTCCTTTTATTCAAAATTCGCGCCACGAATTTTTATTCTTCGTCGACAAGAAGAAGAAAAAGAAGAAGAAGAAGTGAATTCTCTCTTTTTTTTTTTATTCAAAATTCGTGCCACGAATTTTTATTCTTCGTCGACAAGAAGAAGAAAAAGAAGAAGAAGAAGTGAATTCTCTTTTTTTTTTTTTTATTCAAAATTCGCGCCACGAATTTTTATTCTTCGTCAACAAGAAGAAGAAGAAGAAGAAGAAGAAGTGAATTCTCCCTTTCTTTTTTCCTTTTATTCAAAATTCGCGGCACGAATTTTTAATCTTCGTCGACAAGAAGAAGAAGAAGAAGTGAATTCTCCCTTTCTTTTTTCCTTTTATTCAAAATTCGCGCCACGAATTTTTAATCTTCGTCGACAAGAAGAAGAAGAAGAAGTGAATTCTCTCTTTCTTTTTTCCTTTTATTCAAAATTCGCGCCACGAATTTTTACTCTTCGTCGTCTTATTATGGTATTTCTTGGATTCGCCAAGATGAATAATAAGAAAAGGAATGTGTAATGAGTCTTTAGTCTTCTTCTTGGAGCTTTTTATTTTCTTCGAAATAATGTCGAGAGGAAGAAATTTGATTAATTCTCGATTAATTCGTTTTCAAACGAATAATGGGTCGTGGAATTTGCGAGTTGGGAATGAGAAACTGATCGAAAGAGACGGATTGAGAAGCGGTTAACGGTATATGGGGAGAGAGGGGGAGAGGATGTTTCTCACGAGGAGGAGAGACGTGTGCATACGATTATGATTTATGTCGAGTCGAATCGAGCCTGATTTACGGGAGTATAATGTTCTCTTAACTGTGTGGATATCGGAAGGATATCGGCCCTCCATTTCCGAAACGCGAATCGAACAAGTGTTTCCCATTAAACCATCCTTTTCGATTATAATAATCTTTTGTCCTTTGATAATGTTTTATCGAGTTTCGAGAGTAATAATTGGAAGGAATTGAAAATATCCAGTAAGCAATACTAAATTATTGAAATGATTGCACAATTGATTTTTCGTGATTTCTATGAATATTTAGGTATAGAGATATCGAAGGAATTAGAAATAAATCGAAAATACTGTTATTGTTCAAATTTTCAATCGACTTCAATTCTATCAAAGTGGTTCACAATTCATTTTTCGTGATTTCTGCGAATATTCATGGAGAAAGTAGAACTCGTGGTATCGTTGAAATTTTCAATCGATCAATCCAATCGAAATGAACAATTGATTTGAACAATGCGAATATAGATATTTGGGTATCGAGATATCAAAGGAATTGAAAATAAATCGAATCATACTGTTATTGTTCAAATTTCCAATCGATCAATCCTATCAAAGTAGTTGCACAATTGATTTTTTCTGATTTTTCTGAATATTCAGGTATCGAGATACGAAAGGAAATAGAAATAAATCAAGTCATATCGTTCAAATTTTCAATCGACTTCAATCAAAGTGGTTGCATAATTCATTTTTCGTGATTTCCATGAATATTCAGATATCAAGATATCAAAGAAATTGAAAATAAATCAAGTCATACTGTTATCGTTCAAATTTTCAATCGACTAATTCTATCAAAGTGGTTGCACTTGATTTTTCCTGATTTTTGCGAATATTCAGGTATCAAAATATCAAAGGAATTGAAAATAAGTCATATCTGTTATCGTTCAAATTTTCAATCGAATCCATCGAATATTAAATTAGCAATACTAAACTATCAAAATAATTGCACAATTCATTTTTCGTGATTTCTGCGAATATTTATGTATCGAGATATGAAAGGAAGTAGAAATAAATAATAATATCTGTGATCGTTCAAATTTTCTATCGAATCCATCGAGTATTAAATTAGCAATACCAAACTATCCAAATGCACAATTGATTTTTTCCTGGTTTCTGCGAATATTTAGCATCCATTAATCAAATAATCTAATATCAAATATTAAAGTGACTCATTGTTAAAATGTTACACTTCTAAAAAAAAAAAAAAAGAAAAAAGGAAAAGGAATTCCTACACTTTTTCCTATACTATTCCTATACTTTTAAAATTAAATACTTTTATTTCTATAATTCTAAAAAAAAAAAAAAAGAAAAAAGGAAAAGGAATTCCTACACTTTTTCCTATACTATTCCTATACTTTTAAAATTAAATACTTTTATTTCTATAATTCTAAAAAAAAAAAAAACACAAATTTTCTTTTCTTAAAGAAAAGGGGATTACTCGTTGGTCACGAGTATAAAACGGCTATAGATAAAACAGCGTGGAACAGCGTGCATCGTCGTCCCACGAATAACTGTCGGCTACTTATTATTATTTATTTTCCACGGTGGGAGGAGCGAGCGAGTTTCGAAAGCGCCTCGCGTGCATCGATTTGACTTAGCCTCACGGTTACCGGTATCCAGTAACGACTTCCTGTCGTAGTTGCCTCGTAGTTGCAACCACCTGTATATACAGGGTGGGTCCGCAATGAATTTACTCGGCCACGACAACGACAACGCCGACTTCCTTCTGCTTCGTCTCTTTTACAATTATATATATATATATATATATATATATATTTCCTATCGAGAGCAGGCTTCCATTCGAGAAAGAGAAAATTGAAAAAAAAAAAAATAAGGAAAAAAAAAAAAAGAAAAAGAAAGGAAAAATTATATTATAGGCGTATAATTCTTACATGTTGAGTGAAGAGTAGTATAGGAAAAAGTGAAATTTAAGACGGTTGAAGAGAGTTTAAATGGGCGCACGTGCGTTTTCTGTTTGAGTTTTATTACTATAAGGGACACGGTGAAATTTGTTTGCTAGGAGGTTAATCGATTACTCGCGTAACACGTGAAATACGCACGATATGCGGAAATGAATTATTAATGCGACACGTGACCGCGACGCGCTAGTGCTCTCCACGGCGGAGGCGGAAGTCTGGGAATAAATTAACCCAAGAATCCCGCTCAACTCTGATTTATTTTATCAATGATAATCGCGCTTTGATTAAACATTTTTATCCTTTTATACACGTACGATCGACTTCCTCGTGGAATCGATACGTATTTATATCAAGATATGACAAATAAATTTTTCATTTCTCTCTAGATAATAAATTCATTTGCGAATATTTCCAGTGTTGTTATTTTTAAATATTCGAAATGAAGTATATGCGTACTCGAGGACAAGTACACACGAATTATCAAAAATTTTCATTTTTTTCGAGTAATAAACTCTTTCGAAACTCGTTTGAGAATTATAATTCTTAAAATACATTATACATATAGAGAGATACTTGTTTCATGTGAGTTGAAAATTAAAAATTTTCATTTTTCTAAATAATAAATCTTTCAAAAATTACTTCGAAAATTTTTATTTTTTTTAAATAATAAATCTTTTAAAAATTATTTCGAATACTTCGAGATAATTCTTGCATCGAAAATTTTCATTTTTCTAAATAATAAATTTTTCAAAAATTATTTCGAGTAGTTCGAGGCAATTCTTATATCGAAAATCTTCATTTTTTTTTAAATAATAAATCTTTCAAAAATTATTTCGAATTATTTCGAGATAATTCTTGCATCAAAAATTTTCATTTTCCTAAATAATAAATCTTTCAAAAATTATTTCGAGTAGTTCGAGGCAATCCTTGCATCGAAAATCTTCATTTTTTTAAAATAATAAATCTTTCAAAAATTATTTCGAGTACTTCGAAGCAATTCTTTACCAAAAATCTTCATTTTTTTAAATAATAAATTTTTTAAAAATTATTTCGAATACTTCGAGGCAATTCTTGTATCGAAAATTTTCATTTTCCTAAATAATAAATCCTTCAAAACCAATTTGAGAATCCTCAAATACGTAGAAATCGATAAAATACATATACATCAAGAGTTGTTTCACGTGAATTGTTAAAAAATGTTCATTCTATCTAAATAATAAATCTTCCAATACTCATTTGAGGGATCTAAATTGAAAATCGATACACCATACATACATATATATACATATATCAACAGCCACTTGTTCCGCGCGAATCGCTAAAAAATTTTCATTTCTCTGGTAACCAATTCTGTATCCAATTACAAAGCTCACATTCACGAAGATTTCAATCTTTAAATTGGAAATCGATAAGAGATACAACACCGTACACACAGTTGCGCATGAGGAGCGCTCGTACGCTCGTTCCAAGTTCGAATTCCGATTACCATTCCACCGTCACGTTCCCCGTTCCTTTTCGTCCAAGTATCACAATAATTCTCCGCCTCTCCCCTCCCTCCCTCCCTCCTTCCTTTGCCCGGCGATACACCGCCCGTGTACCCCTTACATACGACTCACATACATTTACATC